GTCAGTGGCCCTTGGCTTGGTATTGTTGGCAGAATTCGGCCCTCGGCGAAAACTAATTGAGGAACCCTGATCTAAAGGGAAGGGGCTTATGAAAAATAGAAAAGCTCATAGTAACTACATTTGCTATGTGAGGGGGCTTACATGAACTGTTGTTAAGGGTCTGGTCTCTAAGGGAGTGGAGTTCCTGAAGGATCTTGTCCATGGTCTGCTTTTTGTCCTGTAGTTCCAGCAGTTTGGTGTGTTTAGTGCTGGAGGATGTTGATGCAGTAGTTAGTGGGGCAGAGGAGGGCAACTGACTCCTGGAATTATGGGTAGTGCGTGATCGGCACACCTCTCTTGAAAGAGAGAGACATTCTGCCTGTCGTCGGTTGTCAGGGACCGTCTGAGACTGAGAGAGAAAAATTGAAATGTAGTTGTTAGTTTCTGTTTTATTTAGGAACAGAGAAAACTTTTTTTTTTTTTTCATGTCACAGTAGTTAAACATTAAATTGAATGCTACGTCATGTGATGTGGTTATATTATTTAGTTAGGACAATATAACTTTTGTCTGGCCAAAGAATGGAACCGACGTCATTCAACAATTGTTTTCACTTATAGATGCTGAAATGTCAAACTGCAATGCAGTCACTCTCTCTCTCTTTATATATTATTCTATAACTAATATTTACCATATGAGATTTTAAAAGCCTAGAGCACAAAAAAAATATTTCACATATTAAAATACCTTCTAGTGTTTTGTCTGTTGAATTCCAATGAAAATAAATTATACATAAATTTATAAATAAAAATCAGGCTTAGGTGTGTGTGCGCGTGTATGTACCTGAGAATCATGCAGTTGGTTATGAAAGCGCTGGATAAGATCGTTGAGTTCATCATTGAGCTCTGAGGTAATGCTCCTTCCAGACACACTTCCAGTAGTCTCTGTAACAACTGTAACGCAAAAACAATGTCAATAAAAATGGAAACAATTCTAACTTCAAGCAGCATGAAGTAAGTATGTTTCCCGCACCAGTGTCATCCATCACTGCTATTGCTTGTTCAGCACTTTGCTGCATGGCCAGCAGTGCCGCCTGACGGCCTTGTAGTGCTCTGAGTTGTTCCTGCTGTTCTAGCATCTTTTTTAGTAGATCATGCTGCTTTCTCATGTTCTCCAGCTCTTCTTTCTGTTCTCCACACACACCATGGCCCTGAGAAGGATAGAGAAAAATATCATGAGGACAAATTACTAGTATCAACCTGTGGAACTATGTAATAACAACAACATGCTGAGGTTGCAGGTTGTTAGAGACATTACAGTCAGCTAATGCCTGGGCTCAACAATAAGGATCCCTGCTGACCAAGGCCCAGGGTGTAAGAGAGTTCCATTGTAAGATAGGCTTGCCGCGATAGACGGTGCTGACGGTGATACCGGTGTTAAGCCGCAACACCGGTTATGTCACTTGCCCACCACGTCACCGACCCCCACCGTCGTTTTGATTTTTTTATAGTAATAAAAATCATTTAGTTCAGTAAAAGAACAGACACTACAATTAAAAACTGAACGTGGCTGCTCAATGCAGCGTGCTGAACGACAGTTGCATCACAGATCAGATTTCATTTATCCAGTGAGGAGAGTGAGTCGAGCTGACTGACAAGAAGAGTGAGGTGAGACAGACAAGACTATCGCGGATGATTTAGTTTCGAAACGAAATGCAAACGCGCCTGTTTGGCAATATTTTGGATTTTGAAAAGCCTGTTGACTTTTGCCATTTATCTGATTTTGGAAGTTTTTTTAAACATTCGTTTCTGAATACTAATTTTATTTACTTAAGATTAGCCTAACTAGCTTATGCAACCAGCCACAGGATAGCAGGAAATATACCTACTGCTGAGCCTGTGGTGCATAATCACATCACACAATTTAAAAGACATTTGATGAAGCAGTAAATCCACAGAATTAGTTGTTCTCCAAGCACTGAACCCCATAATAGTCAGCCATGGACAAGTAACTAAACTTTAAAGCACTTTTTTACTTGTGAGGCTTTTGGTTGCTTTATCCTCAAATGAAATCTATAATACCAAGCAGGGCTCTGAACCAGTTCAAGGAACGAAAACGAAAACCAGAAACGAACTAAATTTTGACAGGAACAGAACCAGAAACACAAACGAAATAAAATTTTATAGTTCCGAACAGAATCTAAAATTTGAAATGTCCATTAACCGGTTAATAACGTTATTTTATCATTCCATTTAATATCTGAAATTTGCTGTCAACCAATCACGAACTCCAATAGTACGGCCTATGCAAATATGACGCTGACGCATCCAGCGAGTGAAATGCCCACGCTCAGCTGTCAACTCATCATAGGTAAGTCGCAATGGCAATGCATTAGAGTAGTGTTGTCAAAAGACCCGGTATTTCGGTACCAAGTCGGTACTAAAAAAATTAAAACGTTACGGTACCAGGTTTTTTTAAGTACCGGTGGTACTGAGTACCCGGTCAACCTGGTTCTTGATGTGCTATCCGAAAGCTATACTCTTCCAGTGTTGCCAAGTCCGCGGTTTTCCCATGGAATTGGGCTGCTTTAACACTGTTGCCGCGGGTTGTTTTATAGTGAAAGATGGATTCAACAGATCACACACACCTGCAGCGCTTCTGTGAACAGAGAAAACAGAATAAAACAGTAGGCTTTCATAAAAAGGAATATAGGCCTATACACGAAATACTTCACTTAAATCATTGACAGATTAGCAAAACATAAGAAAAAATTTGCTGAGTTTCGGTTTATTTTGACGTGATCCAAAGTTCAAGGAAAGGAAATGAGATGGCAGAAAGTAGTTTTCTTTATTTTGCAGACAGTTTTGAATGATGTCTTGCTTCTATCTGTTCAACCAGCGTTGGTATGACAACTAGGGCTGCCACTAACGACTATTTTTATTTTTATTAATCTATCGACTAATTTATCGATTAATTTATTAATCTAAACAATTAATTTCCCACAAAAAAATCAACAATTTTACTTAAGAATATTTTATTAAACTAAATGAAATCCAAATTTCTATTAAATCCTTTTTTCAAAGCAAAAGTAACAGAGTGCAAGAAGCAAGTGTCCATCTCATAGTCCAAATCACTGAAATCAAAGTTCAGTATTATAGTGTAAGAATGACAACATATCCACGTGTTCTAGTCTACTAATAATAAAATTATAATAAAAAACACTTTTTAAAGGAGTATTTACCAGAAATGTTATTTACCAGAATTTATTTAGGAGAAAAATGTAAACGTGCAGTATTTCTGAAAAAAAAAGAAAAAAAAAAGTTTTTTTTTTTTTTATAAAATCAATTAATTGGAGATGCTTTTGATTATTAAAATTTAATGGAACCATTAAAATGGAATCCAGAAAATAATGGAAAACAGAATTTGGTAAAAAATCTAGTGCTAATAAAGTCGCGCTCGTGTATGTGAGAGACGCGGGAACTGATGGCAGTGGACGGTGGATATTTGTGGCGGTCAATGTGTATATTGTGGATGAGTTTTTCTGTGTCATCATGTTTTATTAGTTCTACAGCTTCAGTTTCGGAACTTTCACGCTTAGTAACATAATAGCAATGTAGCAATAATAATTAGTTCAACTAAAGTATCAAAAGCAAGAAATCATATGGTTTTATTGAACAAAACTGTTAAAATACATAATGTATTATAAACAATAGAGCTAATGT